TAGCTCTGCTCTGCGCAGACTCCTCAGAGTTCTTCACAAGAGTAAGGCCTGCCCAACGCTGTCTCCTGCTTCCCCCCCCACCTAGGTTTTGGGGGTCACAGAGGGTCCTTTCCCCTTCCTTCTCAGGCTGAGATCAGCATAGGCCAGAGAGATGGAGGACAGCCATTCCCGGGACAGGGATGGCAAGAGGGACGCGAACACAAAGCTCTCAAAAATCCACACCTGGAATCTGGGCTGACTGATGATGGCCTGAAACGGTCTTGCTCTGGGCCCTCTGTGCCTTCTCGGGGATCAGAACCAGCACCGCTGGCTGAGTCCAACGTGAAGCTGCTCAGCCTTTTGTTGTTCGGGAGGAATTCTGGCTTGGCGGGTTCCTCCAAGCCCTGTCTTTTATTACAAAATGAACCAATGAGTAATCCTTTAAGAAAAACCCAGGCCAACTGCAAAGTAAACACACAGCGAGCAAGTGGCTTACCTCGTCACCCCCCCCTCCCGCACCCCCCCCCCTCCATCCCCTGCCCGGGGTGGAGCTGGTCCTCACTGCCCCACAGTGTTGGCTCCACAGAGAGCCCTGACCTGCCCACTGCCCTGGACCTTCTGTGGCTGAGCCCTTGGATGGCAGGATCCACATCTGCGTCAGCTGTGTCTCTTCTGCCACACGCTTGGCACAGCCCGTGGGGTGCGTCTCCCGTCTCCCGTCTCCTGCCTCTGCTGCCTTCCGCTCCACCCTGGCGGCGTCTCTCTCTGTTCCCAAAGCTCATCAGATCCAGCAGCCCAGAAGCTCACTGTGGGATTCTGGGCACACGTATCCCTCTGGGTCGCCAAGAGTCTGATAACGCCTCGAATTTTCCACCAGGTGGTTGCTGAATGAATGAACGATGCTCCGGCAGCTGTGAACCCCGAGATCGCGCCTTCTGCTCAAGTTTAACTGCCTGCACTGATTTAGAATCTCTGCTTCAGAGGCTGCAGGGATAGTACAGCAGGTAGGTTGTTTGGCCTTGCACGCAGCCAACCTGGGGTGCATTTCTGGGCGTCCCTTGGGGGTTCCCCAAACTCTGCCAGCAGTGATCCCTGAATGCAAGAGCCAAGAGTAAACCTGGAGCACTGCTGGGTATGATATCCCCAACCCTCACCCCCAAAATAGAATCTCTCTGAACTCTCTTCTGATGGGCCTCCCTGCCCATTTACACACACACACACACACACACACACACACACACACACACACACACACTCACGCACTCACGCACGCACTTTTTATTCTTTCTTCCATTTCCCCTGATTTCTCACTGCCTGGCATTATACCTCATGGCCTCAACTTGGACCCTAAGTCTCACCAGCTTGTCTGTCCCCTTTCCTGCCAACAACTCCTATTTGGATACATGTTTACCTCTGACCTGACCCTTCCAAGGATTGTCCCTAGCCCTCAGGGGAAACTGGTTATCCCTCTGGACTCTCCTTGTCCTGATGCACCTTCCAAAACTCATGCCAGAGACCCAGGCAATGGAATTGCACAGTTTTAGCGCTCTCTCTCTGTCTCTCTCTCTCTGTCTCTCTGTCTGTATGTATGTCTGTCTGTCTGTCTCTCTCTCTCTCTGTGTCTCTCTCTGTCTCTCTGTCTCTCTCTCTCTGTCTCTCTCTCTCTCTGTCTCTCTCTGTCTCTCTGTCTCTCTCTCTCTCTCTCTCTCTCTCTCTCTCCAGCCATCTGGCAGCTCAGGGGAATTGGGTTATTTTTGCATCACTAGAATCTGGTACTCTATTTCATCATCACCCCATAAAAATCACACCATGAAAGAAGTCTGTGTGTCTGAGATCTGCCAGGCCTGCTGGGTTCTTTCCCACAGGTTGAATACGAGTCTTAATATGAAATATTAACTTATTTTCTCCTCATTGATAGGTGGGGATGTGTCTCTCTGTCTCTTTGCATGTGATGACACCAGAAATTGAATGTGTTGTGCTTTGATTTTGGATGTTGGGGGCTTTTTTTTAAATTTATTTTTGAGGTTTTGTTGGGGTTTATTTTGGGCTTTGGGTTTTTTGGGGTTTTTCTTTTTGGTTTTTGGTTTGTGTTGGGATCTTGCTTCGGCTTTCTGGTTTGTTGTGGGTTTTTTTTTTTTATGTTTGGAGGCCACACTCAGCTGTGCTCCGGGTTTACTCCTGACTCTGCGCTCAGGGATCCCTCCTGCTAGTCAGGGGACCCTATGTTGTGCTGGGGGTTTGACTGGGGTCACTCACGTGCTATCTCTCCCGCCCAGGGATTTTTTTGGTTTTTATTTTTTCAAGGAATAGTCTTTCAAGTGGTCCTCAGGAGGCTAGGGGTCCCCGCCACATTTGGGGAACACCTGGGTGGCAGGCAGTAAGTGTTGCTCAGACCCTGGGGTTCCCGGGATTAACCCTCCACCATGCCCCAACTCCCTCCGGTAGCACCAGGGGCCTGAAAGCTACACTCTGATGTATTCAAGGGCCATATGGTGCTAGGAACCAAACCTCAGCTGAGTGCATGCCCACACCCTAAGCGCTGTGCTGGATCCTGTCCTCAGCACTTTTTTTTTAGCCACTCTGGTGTTTCTCTCTCTCTCTCTCTCTCTCTCTCTCTCTCTCTCTCTCCCTCCCTCCCTCCCTCTCTCTCTCTCTCGTATTTATTTATTTTGTGATTTTTATACATTTTATTTTCATAAAGTAGTTCACAACAGTTCGTTACAGAGAATACTCAAACACCCACACCACCGGCGAGCATCTTCCCACCACAATAAGAGGGAAGTGTGTGAGGGTTGTCGTATTTCATTCTGCGGCCATTTAAGCCCGTATATAAGAGAATACAAGCAAGTATGTTAAAGCCAAACAAATGTGTGCTACTTTAGGTACATCAGTGGGCTAGAGTATAAGAGGACTTCCTGGAGCTTTATTTTATAGTCTCTAGATCTTGGCCGTTGATGAGATTATGTGGCACTGGGGAGCAGTTTGTGGGTGTGACTGCCAAGCTACTGGAAAACTGGGATGCTGGGTGGAGGAGGTCCAGTCCCTATCCGAGCAGGCTTGGAGATCTCAGCCCCGGGTCCTGCATACTTGGGTTTCTCTGCTGGTTCCTCATGGGTGAGGCTCATCCACACATATGGAGAGTGGCCTTGAGCATGGCTGTGGCTTGGTTCTGGAGGTTTTTAGCTGCCGGGGTTCTGCTTGGGGTGGGGAGGGAAACTCAACCTGCCCCACTTCGAGGTGCCCCAGTGAAGACAGCCCGGCGCAGGGGCAGGAGATTCTGCCTCCTTGGTGTTTCCAACCAGCATCCCAGCTGGGAGAGCTGTATGCATGGCCCAGGCTCCGGGGACCTGGAGATAGTACAGAGGACAAGCACAGGACCCAGACTGGATCCCCAGCACCACGCGGATCTCTGGCATTGCCGGGCCCCAGTACCACAGGGCACCAGCAGCCTCACACCCTCCTGTATTGGCCCCAGGCCACTCCCAGTACCGGAGAGCCCCTCGTACCCTCCTGTCCTTCCATTGACCCAGTGGCCTTGCTGGCTGAGAATCATAGCTCAAATCCAGGGCCTCCTGAGCACTACTTTGGAGGGTCCTGTTCCCACCAAATAAATATATACTCTCTGCTTCACAAGCAGGCAAGTCCTTTACACCTGAGCATCTTTGAGCCTCCTGTAATCTTTACAACTAGGTTTGCAGGGCTAGAGACAGCAGATAAGGCACTAGACTTGTGTGGGGCTGCCTGGGATTTAATCCCCAACACCTGCCTACGGTCCTCCGAGCACTGCTAGGAAGTGACTCCTGAGAACAGAGCCAGGAGGAGCCCTGAGCACTGCTCCAAATCCCCAAACTATTTTTTTTAATTGAAAAATTTAACTCCACATGCATTCCCACCTACCTGGGTGCATTCAGCAGTGCTGGGAGTCCAACCATAAATGAACTAATCCCATTAACTCATGACCTTTGTTTAACCAAGTTGATGAAATAGATTAACCAAGATGATGGGGGTAGATTAACCACGATGGGTTCTGGAGGTTGGAGGATGATGGGATTGATCAGTGTGTGTCTCTTCATCGGCAACTCACACCATCAAAATCAATTCTGCTACTGAATATTTGTAGGAAACCAAATAAGGTATGGCTGGACCTATATACAGATGCATGTGCTCCAGGGGGGAATGTTTGTCTAGTTAGAAATTAACAGTCACCAGTAATTCCATGGTCGCTGGTATTCCTGCTGTGCTATGGACCAGGTAGCTGAATCCGGCTGGGAACTGTTTGGCTCCTGGACTCCAGGAAACAAGATAGCAAAGGGGGGGGAGGGGGAGGAAGGAAAGGCATCTGTCTAGAGGCCCAGGGCTAATTGCAGGATGTGTGCAGGCTCTGATTGATCTCTCCAGATCCCTGCCCAAGGCAAGACACAGTCTAGGGCTTCCTTCGGGCATCTGCTTCTTTCTTGCCATGTCTGCCTCACTGCCAGCACACATCAGGGGGAGTCGAAAGCCTTCAAGGGCACATTGCGGGGAGGGCAGAGTGCTGCGAGCTGTCTCCCTGCTACCTCTCCAGAGAAGGAGGCTGGGGGGGAGAGAAAAAAAAAGCTGTTTATTTTTCCTCCTGCACTTGGGTGCCAAGCACCACCTGACTTCCCTAGAGGGAAAAGTTGACATGAGGTCATTTGTGTGTGTGTGTGTGTGTGTGTGTATATATATGTATGTGGGGGGAGGGGGGGGAGGGGAGGGATATCTTGTTTCCTAAAGCTGCTCCTTTGGAAAACCTGCGGTATTCACAACTTTCGTTTGTTTGCTTGCTGGCATGTTTGAGGTCACAACTTTTGTTTGTTTGCTTGCTTGCTTGAGGCCCCACCCAACAGTGCTCAGCACTCAGGGGCCAGAAGCTCAGGGTGGGGGGAGTTGGGGAGGGGGATAGAAGCCCTCTAGGCCCCGTGCCAGAGGCAAGTGCTCTCTCTCCAGCCCGTTTTTTTCTTTTTTTTTCTTTTTTGGTTGATTGGTTTGTTTGTTTGCAGGTGTGTGCTCGGGACGTGGCGCCCCCGCCCGCGGAGGATGGCGCCCCCTGCCGGCCGCAGCCTGCTGCTGCTGGGCGCGCTGGGCGCGCTGGGCGCGCTGGCGCTGCCCGCGGGGGCGCAGGCCAACAGCACCCTCATCCTCAGCCGGGAAAACTCCCTCCGCAACTGCAGCTGCTCGGCCGACGTGCGGGACTGCGACTACAGCCTGGCCAACCTGCTGTGCAGCTGCCATAGCGCGCTGCCGCTGGCGGCCGAGCGAGGCAGCTACTCTGGCCGCCTGACCATCTGGTTCACGGACGCGGCGGCGCTGGGCGCGCTGCTCAACTTCACGCGCGTCGGGGACCTGAAGCTGGCGCTGTGCGGCCCGCGCGGGCTCCCCACGCGCTACCTGGCCGTGTGCGGCCTGCGACGGCTGCGCGTGGGCGCGCCCCGGCCTTCCCCCGAGCAGAGCTTGCTGCTAGCGCACGCCGCCCCTGGGACCTGGCCGGCCGCCTGCCTGTCCATCTCCTTCCTGGACACGGCCCTGTTCAACCGGGACTCGGCCTTGAAGTCCTTCAGCGTGGAGAACGTGGCCGGCCCCGCCGACGGCTTTCCGCGCCTCTCCCTCCTGAACACGCTGGGTCCTGTGCCGGGCAACCAAAGCTACGTGATCACCTTCATCTACTGACCCGGCAACCCTGAGGCCCGTTGGGGGTTTTCGGGGTGTTATTTGGGTTTGGGGGCCACACCCAGCGGTGCTCATCCTGGCAGGATGCTGGTGCTGGAACCCTGGTCGACTGTGTGCAAGGCAAGCACCCTAACTATTGGACTATCACTCTGGCCCTCCTGGCTCCAACTTGGGCCAAACTCTACATCATCTCCACGAAGAAGCAGAGGAAGCGAGCTTGGGGATCCCCTCTGGTCACCTGACCTTGCCTGGACTCCAAGACTCCAAGTTCCACCTAAGAACAACCACCTTCCACTCGCTTTACTTCTCGTCCAGACTTGGAGGCTATGGAAAAGCACACAAAGAGCCCTAGTACTGTGCAGAGGGCGTTTGCCTTGCACGCGGCCATATGGTCCCCTCAGCACCGCCAGGAGTAGTTCCATAGTGCAAAACCAGTAACCCCTGAGCATTGCTGGGTGTAACCCAAAAAACTAAATAAATAAATAGAAAAAAAAAGAAAAGAAAATGAAGAAACCAGGGCTAGAGTGATAGTACAGTGGAGAAGGCATTTGCCGTGTATCTGGCCAACCCTGAGTCATCCCTAGCACCACACAGGGTCCCCCTGAGCAGGAATGACTCCTGAGCACAGAATCCCTGCTCACTGCTTGGGGTGCCCCACAAACAAAGAAACCGAAGAAGAAACCATCAAATAAACCAAATGGGTTCCAGCCAGAAACATGTCTTCCCAGCCCATCAGAGGCACATCTTGGCTATGGATGGTTGGGGGTGGGGTGGGGTGGGGAATGATGGGTAGGTTTGTCACAGTTTGGAAAGGAGGGTAGGAAGAAAAGTAGAGGGAATAAAGCACTCGTGTTTCATGGGCCGAGCCCACTCTGATTCCCAGTACCACATAAAGTCTCCCCGTGTACCCCAGAGGAAGAAGTTCTGAGGATCTTAACCCCCAAACCAAAACAAAGACAGAAAGAAACAGGGAAGGGGCCAGGGGCAGCTCAGCCACCTGAAGAAGAGACCATTCCCTCTGCCCACCCCCTCCCAAATGCATCTGCTAGCACAGCGGGGAGGGCACTTGCCTTGCACGCGGTTGACCCAGGATCAATCCCTGGCACCAATATGGTCCCCCGAGGCTGCCAGGAGTGATCGCTGAGTGCAGAGCCAGGAGCAAGTCCTGAGCACCATCAGGTATGGATGGGCATCTGCTCTTAAGAGCCGGCCTTAACTTTGTTCTGTTTCTTTTTGTTCCCTGGCTGCCTGCCCTCCACTCCCACCCCCCCTCACCCCCAGCACTGAAACAATCCATTTCAGTGCCCCCGAATATCCAGGCGCTGGTGGAGTTTCTCAAATCTCTGGCTCAGATGAGGCCTGGAGAAAAGGGCACTCAGAAACTGTCTGATTGGCAGGAGGAGGATTGAAGCCTGGAGGCCCAACAGCCTCGAAAGGGCTGTTGGATGAGGTGCAAGTGAGGGCACCCGGGTTCCCAGGGGGGGGCGGAGAGAACAATCAGGGCCATGGGTGGAGTGCTTGCTTGCCTTGCAGGCAAAGACCCTGGCTTCCAGCCCAGCACAACACCACACACACACACACACACACACACACACACACACACACACACACGCACACACACCCCAGAGAAAGAAACCATAAAAATGATTTTTAAAGAATACATCTTTTTTTTTAAATTTGGTTTTTGTGCCATACTCAGTGGTGCTCAGGGCTTACTCCTGCCTCTGCACTCAGGGATCACTCCTGCCAGTGCTCAGGGGACCACATGGGATGCCAGAATTGAACATAGGTCAGCCATGTACAAGGCAGATATCCTACCCACAGTACTATTGCTCTTATCCCCAAATAAATAATTTTTTTGTAATAACACACTTGCTTTCCACTCCTCCCTCTTCCCAGCCTCTGGCACAAAGAGAAAACAACAACAACAACAACAACAACAAAACCCAATTTGCACATTTCAGGAGCCACAGAAACAGCAAAGGGGTTAAGGCACTTGGCTTGCATGCAGCTTTCCTGGTTTGAATTCCCAGCAACGCCAGCCATTGCTCCTGAGCACAGAGCCAGGAGTAGCCCTGAGCATGTGGTCTGCTGGGTGTGGCCCAATCCCAAATACCTCAAAGTTTGGTTTGAGCAAGGCCTTGACAGGGAAGTGGGGGTGGGGGGGGGGGGTTGTTGTCTTCTTCCTGCTCTCCTCCATTTCCGTCTCTTTTATTTATATATTTATTTATTCAGCTACCTTCTCTCTGTGCCACTTCCCCTACATCCCCTCTTATCGTCTCATCCACTCCTCTGCCTCCAGCGTCAGAAATTAGAACTGAGATCAGCAACATCAGAACCTCAGGCTGGGAAGGTCATATAGGAGGGAAAGCACTTCCCTTGCAAGCACCCCCGTTCCAAATCCCCGGCACCACTTATGGGGTCCCCTGGGCATCACCAGGGGTCATTCCTGAGTATGGAGCCAGGACTAGCCCCTGAGCCCTGGTAGTGTGACCCAATCTCCCTCTGCACCCCAACAGCCACCACCATGACCAAGAAAAAGCACTAGCCATACCAGTAATTGCCGGGCCAGTTAAGTACTAATCACCTCAACACTGTGCCAGTGGCTATGGAGAAACCATCATTGCTAGTAGACAAAAGAACTTTAGATTCACAAAAGAGTAGAGTTTAGAGTTTAGAGTTCAGTCTGTTTAAGACTGCAAAGTTCCGGGGCCTGGAGCCATAGTACAGTGGGTAGGATGTTTGCCTTGCATGCAGCCAACCCATAGGGCTCAGCCAGGAGTTACCCCTGAGCGCAGAACCAGGAGTAATCCCTGAGCACCATCATTGTGGTCCCTAAATTAGGGGGGGTAGGAAATCTGCAAAGTTCAGAACACACCACATCACATGCTTCCTGTGTGGAACCGAGGTAAGAAACTTGGTAAAATTTGGTCCAAATTACACAGACTTGTCTTTGGACAAAGTCCCTACAGACCAACAGATCCTTAAAGTGGAGACCAAGGAATCCTTGGAGACAGGAAGAACTGTTGGCACTCAGCTTGTTGTATGAAGTTGGACCACGATCACACTCATAATACAATAATGAAAAGAGATCATTTTATCACAAAATATCATCCTATCTTGGGGCAAGTGATTTTTAGATCATGTTTGCCCGCCTCCCCCACCCCCCACACTCCTTTTTTTCTCTCCTAACATTAACACCAGATAACTGGAAGAGATTGTAACATCTACATTTGCTTAATTGGAGGGGGATTTTGGAGGTTCAGGCTAATTAGCATGAATTCACAATGGCAGTTTTTAAATTAGGCCAGAATTTAGCCCAAAGTATGAATTTTAATAGAACCAAAAGTACAGAATGACCTCATTGCTGTCAATGGTACTTGAGAGAAAAGATGAAAGTGTTAAAAAAAAAAAATAAGAACGAGAAGGGCAAAAAATTCGGTGATCAGGCAGGCAAGAGGGCTTTGGAGGGAAAAGAATAATATTTATTGCCATCCATGACCAAAATCTGATCAAATTGAATTTTAATAATTTTTTTATTAGTAAAAACAAATCAAATGATGCCAGAAATAAGGTACCTTGAGATATGGATCTCTGGAGAGTTTCAAAGTCCTTTAACATGTTTTATTTATTTTGGAGGGGCTACACCCAGCAGAGCTCTGGGGGCTACACCCAGCTCTTCACCAGAAGTTGCTTTCAGTGGTGTTTTGTGGGCCAATGTGATAGCGGGGATCAAACCCAGGCCTCCTGTGTGCAGTGGGCGCTCAATCCATGTGCTCCCTCTCTCTGACCCTGTTCCCAGGTCTTTAACATCTTGTAAATGATTCATATAGGAAACCACTGTGGGTCATGGACTTAACAGAAGAGGAAAGTGAAGTCAGATGCAAATTAAGCCTAAGGATATCAGATTCCTGTGCTCGGGAAGAGGAAGGAGCAGAGAGAAGTCAGTCACAGCATATCTGGGTGTGGGGGAGGACATGGCATTAGGAGCTCAGCTGCAGGGTTGGGGATGATAGGGAGAGGGGTGACAACCTGAGGAAATGTAGAGGGTGACGGGAGGCCAGCATGTGCATTGGGTGTTACCATGGCAGAGGACAATGGGGCCAAATGATTCCGGAGAGGATCAGGAACTGCAGGGTGTGAAGGGAACGCTCCCCATCTGTCCGCGTGGGCAGAATTGTCAGTGCTTATTGTTTGTTGCTTTAAATAACCTGTGTGGGTCTGACTATCGTGAGTGCACCCCCATCTAGCCTGGGAAAAATCATTTGTCACCTCTGAATGGAACAAAGTTGAATTTCCAGCATTAAACATTTCATTTCATTTTTTTCATTTCATTTCATCATCCTGTTATTCGTCGATTGCCTCGAGCAGGCCCCAGTAACATCTCCTTCAACCTAGCCCTGAGATTATATTCAAGGCTCTTTAGGAGAATGAGACCCATCATTGTTACTGGTATTTGGCATATTTGGTACGCCACGGGGAGTTTGCCAGACTCTGCCCTGTGGGCAGGCTACATTCGATAGCCTGGAAGTTTGTCCAAAGTAGGAATGTAATCCCATCAACGGCCAAGACTCAGAGACTATAAAGTCCAGCTCCCGGACGAGACCAGTGCAGTCTCCTGCCCCTGCGCCTGGCTGTTCCTTGCCGGGGGCCCCTTGGAGGGGAGCGGGTTGAGCTTTCCTCCCCGCCCCGACCAGGGCTCCAGCGGCCGAAGACCTCCAGGACCAGCCACCACCATGCTGAGACCACTCTCCGCACACATGAAGGTACTGGCAGAGGGACAAGCCACGCGGGTTCCTGGGCCGAGATCTCCAAGCCTACTCGGATTGGAGTCGAGCATCCTCCACCCAGCATTAAACAAAAATATCTTTTTTTTCCCCAAAAGGATATAATCAGGGCTGGGGAGAGAGAGAGAGGGAGAGAGAGAGAGAGAGAGAGAGAGAGAGAGAGAGAGAGAGAGAGAGAGAGAGAGAGTAGCACTGTCCTCCCATTGTTCATAGATTTGCTCGAGTGGGCACCAGTAACAACTCCGTTGTGAGACTTGTTGCTGTTTTTGGCATATCAAATCCGCCACTGGGAGCTTGCCAGGCTCTGCTGTGTGGGTGGGATACTCTTGGTAGCTTGCCGGGCTCTCCGAGAGGGACGGAGGAATAGAACCTGGGTAGACTGTGTGCAAGGCAAACGCCCTACCCCAGAGAAGAGAG